GATTCCATGATCTAGCACCTGAAAAATGACAAGTTCAGTGACAGACTGTGATAATGTTGTGAACATAAGTAATCTCCTGCAGATAAAAATATAATTCCTAAAGGATCAAGTTATACTCTTAATTACCCTAAATATACACCAGTGCACCTTCTCTAGTTTCAGTGCGGCTACCACTGATGTCTAGTACTGTGAAATCAGCATGAGGTCCCATTTGATATGAGTATGCAGAAGGTCAGATCATCAGATGTTCAAAGTTAGTGTATTTGCTCCCATTTTCATTAGCCAAACTTGTCCTTCCAAGTGCCTGCCATTTGGCAGGGAGATGCTGTCTGTTGGGTTTCCTCATGTATTTGGCAGAAATATTCGTTTATATGAAAAAAAATCAGCAGCATGGTTCTAGGATCCTATAGATATAGGTCCATGTAGCTAATTAATTTTAATTAATCTTCTAAAATGTCTCATTCTAATGCATTAGAACTATCTTTTTTGTGTTCCTGTGCAATATTTTGGTTTTGAGAGATTTTTCTACAATGAGAGGAGCTAACAGCAGGTAATGCCATTCATCTCGGAAGAAGTTTGAAATTTTCAGTGTTAGTGATGAATGAGGGTATCTGACCCACATCTGTTTTACATTAGAATGGAACATTGCCCTGACATTGTTAGGAGCATTTGTCAAGATTCCCTGGACAGAGCTTCTGTAAATTACATGCTGCAAATGTGTCAGGGTCAGATAAGAGGATATCATTAACTCCACTAAAGTTTACTCGTGATTCTGTCAGTTCAACTTAATACGTTAACTGCCCACAATTTTCCTTGAGCTGTTTCATTAAATCCTTCACTCACAGGAGGAGGAAAAAAAAGTATCACTGTACCCAAAAATATTGCACATGTTCTTTTCTCATAAATCATATTAATTGCAGGCCTGGTCACAAAGCATATTAAATGCAGGCATGCGTAAATGAATTAAAACATATGAGAATTTTATTGTGCTGATGGTAGGTCCTACATCCTAAAATACCAACCATGTTAACAGGCATGTTTCATTTAAATACAATAAACTTTTTCTCAGTTTAATGGCCTTTATTTTGTTGATAATAGTAATGTTTTCTAATAGCTGATAATGGGCCAGATGTGGTGTACGTGGTCTTTTAAGGCTTTCATCACTCATTTTCTCCTTCTCTTCCTGAATCATATCCTCAGCTAGTGATGCTGTGCTCTCCCCACCAGCAAGGGATTTGTCCTAATGAATATTTTGGATTGCTTGGCTTGTGCTCCCTGAAAATTTTCTGTAGAGTTTGGTTGTTGCAGTTCACTGTGTTCTCTTTGCTTATTCCTAATGGCACCTTTGTTTTCTAATATAATAGAATTATTTTATCAATGATATATACTGCCTGTTGTTGTATTAGCTCAAAGGCTCTCTATTCATGTTTCTGCATGTGCTTTTTAAAACAATGAGAACACAATATATGTAGCCAAAAAACTTCCATCCAGATTTTTTTTTGCATTTATAGGACTTCTTTTCTAAAAGAAATTGAGTTGTTAAAGCAGCATTTGATTCAAGGTGTTCGATCAGCCCTTGATTTTTCTTTCACCTTCTTTGCGATCCTGATCAGAGAGGCTGACAATTACTACCTTGGCTTTCCCAAATTCAGAGGGAAGTACATATTTTCTAGTAATTTGGATGGTAAATGGATTGAGTACATTTATTTCCTTCTTTGTTGTAAAACAATCAGATGCATTTACCAATTTAAAGCTATGTTGTTTCATACAATCAGAAGATTGATTTGCAAAATTCAGGTCTTTGCATGTGTCTTGTATACCGCTAGACAGAGGGTGCTGAGCATCTTGCAGACATGGCCTATTAATGACTTTGTAATTGATTAGGTGAAAGTCAGCCATGCCCTTCCTGTAACTCCTTGTATGGGTGATAAGGTCATGGCACATACCATATGAAAGACTTCTGCCCTGAGGTAACTTCCCTTATAGCTTTCAAAACAGACATGACCAAAAATCTAATTATTTAGATACTAATCAACTGCAGGAAGATTCTGAAGGCCTCTGAAGAAGATATTTCTGAGATGGTTACTGTTTAGACTTCAGTTTTCCCCACCTGAGAGACACAGAACTGTCAGTTCTGCTCCAAAATGTCTATTAGGTGCACATGTGCTTAATAAAAAGATGCCTAAAGACTTGTATTATCTGATTAATTTAATTTTTTTAAAGTAAACTTAATCAAATGCTAATTTTAGTTTGTCAGAAGAGAAATCTTTATCCAAATATAGATGCTACCAAAAATTGAGTGGTTTTTCAGATCCCATTAGGATTTAAGTTTAAATTTCAAGGCTAATCTCTAAAAATACCTTCCAATCCTAAAGTTTTTGAGCTTGCTGCTTTTGCTGGAAAAGTCCAAATGATGTTGTCACGGGCTGCATTCTATTGGAAATATTAAACAGAAAAATGTATCGTTTCAGTACATAGTTGGTAAAATATCTATATGCCCAACTTGGCAATTGGTCCTGAAAGTCCAGGAGGAGGCAATGAGTGATGGGAGAGCACTCACACAGTAATGATTGCCGGGGGCTGTGTGACAGGAGCCCAGCACCTTCTCCCTGCCCTTGAACTTGGAACAGAACCTGGTGAAGCCCCATCAGTGTCAGTATCACATAGGTGTTATGCAGGAACGGAAAGGGCTGTATATTCAGTTCAGATTTCTCATAAACCAGGTGTGCTTTAAACTGTAGTCAAAACTATGATACTTGTAATATGTTCCAAAGTAGTAATTTTCAAAGTGAACATTTAAGTTAAGCTATGTTTTTTCTGGATCTTTTCTTTTAACTCTGTTAGTGTTAAATTTAAAGGACCAGGATTAAAATAACTTAAGGGAACATAAATTCTAATATTGCATCTTGCTGATGTAACATCAAGGCATTAAGCGTGTTGGATTTTCAGGATAATATTTTCTACAGCTGTAAGTAAAAGATTTGTAATTCATAAACAGAAAATCTTTTAAAAATAAGTTTTAGAAATGTTAATATTATCAGGAAACTATTTTTAGAAGAAGAAGAAGTTGAGAGCCCAGTTATTTCAGCTTTTAGGGGTCTGTAAGACAAAATGCTGTGCAGGTTGCTGTACAAATAATATTTTTTTTAAAAATCTGTGGCAATTCCAGAGATTTTTGGGTTTTATTAATCTCATCTTTTAATAGGTTTTTGCATGAAAAAGATTGGAAGTAAATGGAAAATATTTTATAGTCCAAATAAAAATTCTTTTTTTTTTTTTTGTTTTGTTTTTGTTTTTCACTAAAATGTAAAGGAATGAATGTAAATATGTTTTGAAACTTCTTTTTGCATTAATACTTCATTTTGTGAGACATCCAGAAAATACCATCAGTTACACTAATTTTTTTCTTATTGAAATAAGTGAACATTCTAGTGCTGTAAGTAGTGATTGAACTTCTTTCTCAGCATTTCTTTTTCCTGTGAGATGTTTTGGGTGTAGCTGGAGCAGAGATGTTTTGTGTTCTTGATGCTGGTATTGGGGTGTCTCCTTTTGAAGTACTCTGTGCATCTTGCTGTGCTCCTTATCAGACATAAGACACAGATCTTCTTTCCTATGTAAATAATGATCATTGGGACTTTTAAAATTTATTTATTAAAAACCTCAGAGCTTGGACCACAAACTGCTTATAAAAATAATAATCCTTTTTCTTTTGCGATAGAAAATCAATACAATTCAAGAAGGAACACCAGAGCTTTAGGAACCAGACCTGTTCATATGAGTATAAGTTTATTCTCTACAAAATAGACTCCAATTTTAATAACTTGTTTGTTTGTAGTAGGAAGTGTAGTAAAGCAAAATTATTATCAAATAGCATATATCAGGTATTTGTAGTGTCTTTTTGGAGGAAGAACAACCTGTAAATTTTCAGAATACACTGTTTAGCAGAAGCTGTACACTGTTCATCTGTTATAAGCTCTAGACTATTTCTCAGGCATTGAAGCACAATTTAGTCAATCAGAAGCAATTCTCTCAGTAGTACTTATTTTTAAAATGTGTTATGGAGATGTGCCAGGAAAGGCAATGCACGTTGATCTATAGTGCAAGTGATTTTTGTACAATAACTTATCACTGTCACTTCCTTCCCTTCTTGCTTTTGAAATTGTTTTTGCTTTTCTACTACAAATTATGGCCTAGAGGGCTTGGCTTTTGTAGGGACAAGCACGAATTTTCCAGATATCTCTTTTCAACTAATTTTGACTGTTGATTTAATAACTGTTCATGTAGAAGCAGCTTATTAACAAAGCCTGTCACCTTGAGGCTGGTCTGGAACACTTGATCATTTCTGTGTCCTGTAACTCAATGGTCTAAGCTGTGGACTGGTGTGACCAGCACATTGCTCTTTCATGTTCATTCCATCACAGGCCAGCACACAGGGCATGCAACAGCAGGAGTTTCAGTTGCTCTGCCCCTTCCCCATGCACTGATCTTGTGCTGGGTGCTGGAATTCTTTGTTACTTCTATTGGTTGTGTTGCTGTGATCTGCTTCAAATTAGTTTCACTTTATTGACTGCTGATCGAGAAAGAAAAAATTGTGAGCTTTTCCACAGATTTTCTATGTTTGCAGACCATGCGGGACAGTGTGGCTCAAGAGCCACTACTTGTTTCTTATTCTCTTAAAATTGAGTTCTCAAGGATTAAACATCTGCAGAGATCCCAGCTGGGGCATGGGAGGATCAGGCACACTAAAATAAGTTGTTAAACTGTTGTTTTCCTTATTTGCCTTTGAGATTGCTTTTTATTAGTTGTTAGCCATCACTTATTTTAGTGGATGATGCAACCAAATTCTAGTTCTTCTTTAGATTAGATATTCAAAGCATGGTTTAAATACCAAGTCTACCTATTTTAGGAAATCAAATGACAGACCTGAGAACTCCTGTGGGCTCTGTAAGTGATGTGGTTCTTCCCCTATTGTAACTCTATTATTCAACCTTTTATTTTAGGTAATGGGACTCCTGACTAACCATGGTGGGGTGCCTCACCAACCCCAAACTGATTATGCCCTGTCCCCTTTAACTGGGGGCCTGGAGCCCACCACCACTGTGTCAGCCAGCTGCAGCCAGCGGCTAGAGCACATGAAGAGCTTGGACAGCCTGCCAACATCCCAGTCCTACTGCCCCCCGACCTACAGCACCACGGGGTACAGCATGGACCCTGTCACGGGCTACCAGTACGGACAGTATGGACAAAGTGAGTACTGGGACACTGGCTTTGTGAAGTGCAATACTGAACCTGGTTATCAACAGCCCATATTTTCTGTTTGTAACAAAGAAAATTATGAGCAGAGATCCTAAGGGCTGTCGGCCACTTCTCTCCAAAGCTGAGCGGAGTGCACTGGTGAGATAGCTGTGTTGGAGCAAGATTTCTGCTGCATAATTATTTTCTCAAGTGATGTCAACAACATCTTGATGTTATTAATTGTTGAGACATGAAACCTGATTGCCATTAGGTAAAACATAAGGGTTGTCCAAAATGAAATAACCACTGGCATTCCAATATTAGAAACACATGTTCTTAATGAGGTCAGCTCAAGAATCATTACAGTGTATAATCCCAGATACATAGAGTTTTGTCAAACTTGTCCTAGGAATAAAAATATTAGTCCCTTTACTTTGATATATCAGTATTAAATATGACAATGTCAACCTGTAGTTGGCATGGCCCCATGCTGTGAGGTTGTCACAGCATGACTTAAAAAGCTTCTTTTGCTTTTTTGCAGGTGCCTTTCATTATCTGAAGCCAGATATTGCATAAATGAACTGTCCACTTCAAGTTAAAGCTGGTCTTGTTTTCCGGTCTCACTCCAAGGCTTGGATGCGAGGGATCTTCTCAACACACTGCAGTCTACACTGGGGCAGCCCCACTGAGAGAAGCAGGCTTGTTATGTTCTCTCCAGTCATAGCTTTTAGTAGACTTTTGAAGGCTGGACAAAGCTACACAGAAGAAAAAGGCCAAAAGCAATAATGAATAAATAAATGCAACATGGTTCATTATGAGTGGGTATACAAAACAGAGCAGTATTTAATATCACTACCTGGCAAAACATTCCATTTTTTGTTGTTGAAATTATTGTGCATTGATTGGGACAAACAGAACATTTTGAAACTTGGAGCAGCTGAGCTCTGTGTATTGACTTGTCTGACATCCAGTGCTGGCTTTAGTCTAACTTTTAAAAACTGCTCTGTTTCCAAAGCAAGGACAGGCAAACCTCTTTCATTTTACACACTGGAAATTGTCATCAAGAGGAAACGTCACAGTCCAGAGAAAGCTATGATAAGTGCAAAAGACTTCCTGAGCAACTTACTGGTTACCTTACCACACTTTTGTAATCATGTTGTCAATAAATCTCACTTGCAAGTTTTGTTTTACCAGAAGGCAAGATCTTGTGTAACATGTAAAACAGATTTTATCTTTTGGTATGTGGAGTTTTCCTAGTCTGTTGTACCTTTTTGAGCAAACATGGGAGAAAAATAAATCAACAACACGACAGATTTTTCACAACTGCCTAGCAATGTGCAATACTGTGTACCTCACACAAGCTTTGGGATCATCCAAAGTCATATAGATAGAATCAGAACTATATTTTTGCAGGTACTTTTATTTTTGCAGTGCATGATTCCTGACGATCAAATGCAGAAATGTTGCAGTGTGCTGGACAACTAAAATCCAGCTTGTTTCTCATGATTTAAAGGTCATTTTCAGGAAACAATACGAAGAAATAATTACGTTTACATTTTTTAGTGCCATACAGGACATGGACAGAGATGGACCTGTATTTGACACATTTGTTTAAATTATACAGTGATATCCAATATAGAAACTATAATTATAGGAACCAAGGTTTACAAGAAGTTTGCATTGTGACATTTTAGAATGTCAATAAATTTGTGTTTTGTGATGTTGAGAGGAAGATGAAGATGGAAGGCGGTGTTATTTATTTCTCTCTATTCTTGGAATGAAGGGGGAGGCAGAACACAAATACATTCCTTTTAGTGTTAAGGACTAAGAAGTAGTGAGTTAGACTAGGTTCAGTACAGAGGTTAGTTCACACATTGGTCTTAAGGGTGATGGAAAAATGAAATATCTTTGTGTTGCAGCCTCTACAACAACATGTGTTGTTAAAAAAACAAAAACAAACAAAAAACCAACAAAAAACAAAACCCAAACGTCTTTCATGTAAAAAGTTCAGTAAATATTTACTATTTATAATGAATAAACATTATGAAGACTTGCAAAGCACTGATGATTTTGTCCTAAAATGTAGTATTGTGCTAAATACATAGATACATTTTAATCTGAATATCATGAAGAAATAAACCATGTTATCTTCAATGCAAACTGTAGTCAGTATGTAAGTGTATTCTGCACACACCCCAGGGCTGCAGGAGCCTCTGTGCCCAGGTACTGCTCATCTGTAGCCCTGAGCTCTGTTTATTCATGAACTATGCATTCTTCAAGCGCTGCTGGTACCAGTAGTGCATCTTCCCAACAAGAAAAAAACATTGTGCTTTTACTGTGCATTTCAAATAAAAAAAAATAGGCTCAAAACCAGCACAAGTTGGACAACTGGGATGGCTTCATGCAATGTAAGGACTTTGTGATCAGTTATGGGTGGTATCTATCCTGAATTATTTTTTTTCTGTAGAAACCTGAAGAATTTTTCAATAGGCTTATACACAAGATGATTAAAACGTGACAAAGCCCCTTCAAAATGAATGGAGTAAGTTTTAGTGGCATGTCAGTGTGTGAGGAAACTGCTGCACATTAGGCTTGGTGGACAGTTCATTTCCTCACCATTTTGTGCAGGATGTGCCCACCTTACATTTCTTGCAGCTCCTATTTTGGTGTGAATTTTATTTTTTGTTTTATTCTTTTAACTCTAGCCCTCTTTCACTGGAAAAGGAAGGGATGTGCTTTTTGAAAAGAGGATATTAAGGAAATACTGAAAATTGGGTAGATATTTTTTCCTTCCAGTTTGTTTTCCTGTTATGCTTTTCATTTCTATGACAATCAAAATGTAAGTATTTTATGAATGTGTATCCTCTGCTCTAATCTGCTAATTTTTCAGATTTTTTCAATCTTGCTTCCCCTCCCTGAGGACTTGGATCTGGGCATTTGTCTTGTGCCCTAGGCTTGCTGCAAAGGCCAAATTAGCCTTTTTCCCCACTTGCAATCTCTTTACTGTAAAGTACAGGATAAAAGCCTGCTCGCTTGCACAGTTTGGCAGGGGATGATGTCTGTATGGTTGCTCCTTCACAGAAAGGGTCTATCTTTGTCACAGGATAATTGCAGAATGCCACTCTTGCTATCTGTCCTTTTGGGGAGTGGGATAGAGCTATAATTTCTCCTATCCTTGCAGTACTACTGGTGAAGTGTTTTCTTGACCCAAAGTTAGAGAGCAGATGTTTTGGCTGCTCCATCCTCTTTTCAGGTACCTCCTAAGCACTTCCTTGTGTGAGAGGTTACCATGGAGTAGGAGAACCTAGAAACAAGACAGATAAGGAGAAAATAATCTAGTCTTCTCAAAGGGAGCCACACAAGTGGGGAATCAGGATGAGATCTTGCCAGAGGAATTGAGGAGCCCAGGAGAGAAGAACTAGGCAATTTCCTGATTTATGATGCACCACAGGAGTCTTTGACAGAGTTATAAGGATTACTTGGGGTACTGCTGATCTCTTGTTATCGCTGTCAAGGCTGAAGAGATTCTTGGGAGCCACATGTTTCTAGCATATGAATCCTGACCACATGGAAAGTCAAAGGGGCATGAGCCCTGCATGGATATTGCATTCAACAGAAATGCCATGGAATAGCTCAGAGAAATGTGCTCATAGCAGTAGAGTTCAAAACCTTCTCACTGATGAGTGCACAAATGGTGGATCTCAGGGTTCTTCGTTGTTGTTCTTGTTACATGTTTTACAAGATGGCAATACATAACAACAGCTGCTTCGCTGCCTCTCATCTCATAGATACGAGAATTGGAAGCTCTCAAGAGACAGGCTTTGATGGGAAAATATTTGTTCCTTATGTCACAACCATGATTTTTAGTTTATTCTTTGCTTTTAATTCTTCTTTTATCTACAAATACAACTTCTGCTCCCATCAAAATACCCAATGTATGCTTTTTGGCTTATATTTACATCAGTAAATGTTCCTATTCCTGTATTTGATCACGCATAATATTTAATGAATGAGCTAGGAAAATAATTATCTTAATGGCACCTATTTCCCTTCTGTTTTCATGGGATAGTTCAGTGTGTCCCATTAAAAAAAACAACTATAAATAAACATTTTTTTTCCAATAATCATGCGGGGTTTTCTACTTAATATTGCTGAAAAACCTTCTGTCTGCCCATGTTAGAAATGCTGTTGAACTGTGTCTATAGCTATTTTGAAATCTTTGTTGAAAATAACTGGTAATTATACAGGATTAATGTCCTTAGAAATCACTTACTGCATATATGTGATAATAGATCTACATTTTAAATCCCTAGGTTAAGGTCTGTGTAAATTCAAGCAAAAAATTCTGGCTACAGGTCTGTAACCTGTATCTCCAAATGTAATGAAAAAATTCAAACATAATTTTGGAAATCCAAGTCCCACGCAAAATCATCAAATGCTACAAATAATTCACGTAGCAAGGATGTATTTGCCTTTTCTCAGGAGTATAACATAAGATAGCATGCAAATTGTTATGTCTGAATTCTGTGATATATTCTCCTACATGTAAAAAATGTATTCCCTCTTGTTGGAGTGGTTTTGGCTACTGCTGAAGTGTAAAACACATTTTTGCTAACTTAGTAATCATGAAAGTTCTCAATGTTTTTTTATCCATAAAGTCTTCTAGCCTTAAAGTCTATAAAGTAGATTACTGAAAGGTATATCTGTATAAAATAGCTAGAAATTAATTTGAGGCAGTATCAGTGAGGCCATCAGAAACCCAGAACAGCTTGAATTCATAAACCTCTGTATTGTTGGCTTCAGTGTTCCATTGCTTGCTTAGTAACAGCAAGAAAACCTGCATCCTGATTAGAAGATCCTATTTTTAATTTCTTTTGGCTTTTCCAATGACCTCTGGGTATTTCCTAGAGCCAGACAAAAATAATCTGTAACAATATGAACAAATACACTGAATTAAATTGCTAAATTTCTGTTCAACTAACATTAGATAGAAACCTTGTTTAGATTATATATATGACATTGCAATGCTCATTTGCCACTGCTTGAAAGGGTCTTGTGTGTCTTTTGGTTTATTCTGTAGCTAGTGTTATTATAAATTGTGCATACATTTATATGGAGTCACAGAGTTATAAAAAAAATCACACAAGTTGATCTGAATCTGCTAAAAGTATTTTTCTATTGTGAAGAACCAAAACTGCAGTCTGTTTCTGCAGTTATTATAGGTAACAGGCCCTTTGGCCTGTCAGATTTTCACTACCTACCTGTTCTCACCCAGCACTTCTGGGTGGCTCGTAACAGTCTGGGAAGTTCTTACCTGTCACGGGGAGAAAACTGCTTTAGCTAGGTGGTTCAAAAACTTACAAAGTATTTCTTGTACAAGTAGGCTTCAAAATCTGCAGGTAAACATACTGCCAGAACATGGTTCTCTTTTGTCATTGTGGTTCCACAAACAACACCTTGCAGTGCTTACACGTAGTTTAAATCTTTGCTTGATGCATTTACATTGAGTAGGCTCACAGTCCAGAGTGCCTGTGGATAGCTCAAGCTCTGCAGCATTTTGACATGCAGTGTTTATTATTCAACTACTCAGGCAATGTCAAGAAAAATCATAATAAAACTCCAAAGACACATCACATTTGACCTTTGCTGAATAATTTAATAAAGCT